GATAGACGAAATTATCTGCCATTGTCAGGGAAAAATTATCCCGGAATTTCAATTTCACATCTCACTCATTGACCGTTTTTTGCGTTAAAAGTCACAGTTTAATGAATTTGAACAATTTGTGGTCATGGGAATACCCTAAAGGAATTAATCAAAATTTTATTCCATTATATTGATTTCTTCTTTATTTGTATACCGGAAGGTGAAGTAATCAAATGAATTTAGGATTGTATTATTTGGGAAGTAGGCGTGGTTGCAGTCCGATTTCGCACTATTAAATAAGGATGTTATGTACAAAGTTGGTTGAAATCGGTCGAGCAGATCCTGAGATATATGATTTTACCTAAAAGTCGGCCATGCCAACTCGGTCAATTTCTACATCGGCTTTGTATTTTAAACAATACCGTTAAGTGGGGAATGAGCTATCATTGGATTTCACTTATTTTTTCACTGTCGAAAGAGATTCTTATAATATATGCGGTAGGCGAATTTGATTGTCACTTTTGTGGTTTTGGAATTATAGGCATTAAACTTGTTAGAGAGCGAGGCCACCCTCACTTTTTAACATTTTTTTCCCCAAAACATTTCTTCCCCCTCTGTGCCAAATAACAATTCTATATCTTATTTTAGTGCTGAGTTATATTGTGAAAGTGGAACTAGTCCGATTACGCCCATCTACGAACTCGTACCAAGTCTCATCAAGATCATTTTTATACATATATACCCAATATCTATCTCAATTAGTTTTATGTAGTTTGTATAACCGTTAGGTGAAAAAAAACTATTTGACTCTGTAGCAACATGTTGCAAGAGTATAACAAGTTTTGGGAAACTTTGAGCAAATACATATATGTAGATTAGAAAGGTATGAAAGGTTTCAAGAAATATGTATAATTTTATTAAAAAATTATCATTTTTATATGACTTATTGCTTGTGCTAATTTTTTGCTTCATAATAGTTTATGCTGTAGATACACCCCTCTTAGTACCGTAAGCAAGTTAAGCAGCATGGTAATGTCAGAAACATCTACCCTGAAATCATCGGCCCGATGGAAAGTAATATGTTCGGCATATGGGGACGTATCGCACTTACCTATCGATATATATTTGTTAAGAGATTATAACGTTACCTTGGAAAATAACTTATGCCAAATTTCGTGAACATCCAACATATGAGTCGATAATTCAATAAAAAAAAGTTTTCCCTAAATGGTCATGATTTTGATCGATTAGTTAGTGTATGGTTGCCATACACCATCCTATTGGGGATATATATATACTATATACAGCAGATAGACAGAGAGACGAGCATACATACAAGCTAAATCGATGTTGATTGTAACTAACCCGAACTTTTTAGCAAAACCTGTTAAGGGATTAAAAATCATTTTATTTAATACTAGCTGACCCCGAAGCCGTTGTCCTGCGTGAAATTATGTGTTTTGAAACATTTTAATTTTTTTTCCAATGTAACTCAGCTTGGTTAATAGCATTTTTTGCTTTCTGTTCCGGTGTACAAAAAAGATGATTTTCAACTCGTGACCACGCCACGTTTTTTTGGCCGTGTGAAAACATAGCATTTCCAAATTTATGCCATACACTATGCGATTATTCTTGTGTCCTGTTGATTGTCATCTCAAATGCAATTTTCACTGGAAACGGCAGACTTTGGAACTGAAATGGTAAATCGTTAGAACTCAAAGGAATTCGTGGAATCAAGCATTCTGCCCCCCTGTATTCGATAGCTGCGTCACAATCAGTCGGGTTCCATTACACAGTTTCGGCCAGGGATAATGGGATGCCCAACTTATTCAGTGGGAGAGCGCCTCAAAATAAGCGTTTTTTACAACATTTTCCATTATGGCCAGATCTCACCAAATAAGAATTTTTGGACATTTTAAATTAGCATACCCAACATTTATTACGATTGCAAATTATTATATATTGGACTTTTAATATATGGCGAAACTACTTAATTCCTTTTTTAGGACTTTATGGTATATTAAAACAACTGTGTTTTGATATTTCAATACTTAATAAGGTGAATTAAGCCTGTCAGTTCTCAATTAATAAGTGTTTTTAATCATTTGTAATAGAATATTAATTCTATTATGCATCAAATTACAAAACGTTTCATGATATATATTTAAATTTCGCATTATCTTTGATTTTTATTGTTTTCAATTTTTATTAGCGATCTTGAACGGCGGCAATAAATTCCTCCGTTCACATATATTTTTGGTATAATCAATCTGGCCGTTCCAGTCATTCCAATTGCAAAACGTCAAAACCTACTCAATCCAGTCAACTGTCAAAGTTCGGTAGGTTTTAACGTTTAGCAATTGCTCTCTCACTGGAAGTGAGAGAGGAGTTTGAGATCTCATTATCTCTGGTTTCGGCGCATAAAGATTGCGAAACATAATAACGACAGTCCAACTTAGAGGCGCAAATGAAGCGGTAGCATACCGAGCCATTCCAAAGAATTGAGTAATTCCGCTGGATAATTCACGGCATCGTCTTCATTGTCAAGACATTGAGTTCAGCTTTTATGAATTAATAAACGGCAGATGGAATTGATATGAAACCATCGGAAGTATTAACCGGAATTGATCCATTTCTAATTCTTAGCGAATACGATATTAAATGTCTTCGACAATGTCATTTTTGTTAGTATCCCGTAATTGACGCTAATATGTTGAAATGATCATCGCGAAAAGTGTACAACCTTCTTTTGCATTCGAAGTAGCTATCGCGTCGTACATCGTTTGTTTGCAGTGATTATCATGTTCCAGCAATTGTAATTGCTGGCTTACTTCTCCAAAACTTGCACACACCGTACCATTCACAGTACGCAAGGACTCAAATGAAGTTGAACCGCGTACCCAATCGAAGGTAGAAGCAATCGTTGTTTTTTCGGGTGGATTGTGTAACTTCGTCCTAATGCTTTAGTTGAAAACACAACTGGTCAATGTTAATTTTGTCGCTGGCGATGTTTCCATTGCCTGTACTGTATTCTCTGGGTTGGAATACAGTCATTGGGCATTCTCCAAATTATCAGTGAGAGGCACAACAGTCGGGAAACGTTCATGAATTGCAAAATAAAATATTCTTCAAAGTGCTTTATTGCAGTTCACGTATCGACCGTTTCGTTCAAGACCTATAATCATGATGTTGCTTCCTTTGGTGACGTACTTATAAACGTATTTTATGGATTTCACCAAACTGCAATATACAACATTGATATGAGTTTTGAATGTGAATTTGGCAATAACGGTGAATATAGTACGATCCATTTGTTGTCAGCTTCGATATTCACTCTTTTAGATTAAATGCTGAATGTTCTACCATTGTCGTCTGGTGGGCAACGCCGATAGAGCGGATATCCATCATTTTCAGTTCGTGTTTCCGAAAGAAACCGAAGTAGGATTGTGGTGTCCGCAAGGTGCATGAACCATATTGGTTTTTATCACTTCGTATAATACTGGTTCTTTCCCTGCATCAGGAATTTCCGCAGAAATGATTTCATCAATTTGATCTGGTGGAACCACCATCCACCATCCAAAGAAAAATGTGTACGTGCGGCAAACCTCTCTTTTGCCACTCAACGGAGTACATCTAGCATCTAACAGCACCACATTTATGTTGCTTCACGATTAAGTACATCAAACATCGTTACTGTTGTTTGAATAGTCGTGCTGTGACATCGTGACGATCGCTTGCTGATTGACCGCGATCCATAATTCCGCACATAAATCATCACATCAAAGGAATACTCGGTCATGTGCCTTGGGCTGCCAATGTATGCTGATGCCAAAAAGAACGCCGACCGATATTAGCGCGACCTCTTTGTGGCGTCGTAACAAATTTCAATCTCTATTGATCACTTTGTGTAAAACACACATAAAGTTTTCACTGAACAATTTTCAATAAATTATTTTTGAATAGCCTGAATAAAGAAAGCAAACGAGAAATTTGAACGATTCAAATAATTAAAAACCAAAACAAAGAAATTAAAAAAAAAAAATTTAAAAAAAGTTACTTTTAGGAATTGTCTAATTTCCTAACTTTCTTTACGAAACGCATAGGGTTTTTTGTTTTTTTTTCTAAACCTTCCCCGATCCACAGCGAACAAATTCTGAAAATGTCATCGAGATTGGTTCAGACGTTCTCGAGCCGTTACTAACAAACAAACATTCATTCGTTTGTATGAGAAAAAGAAAAGGGCTTTTTTAGGGGTTTTCCGGCAATTATTCGAATTTTTCTGGGGTCGGCTTTAGTATACCGTTCAATGATTTCGGGAATAAAATGGATATGGTCGGATAGAGGAAATTCTCCAGATCAAGAATATGTATAGGATAGCCGCAGGAAGCTTATCGTTTTCGAGATATTTCGACCATACCCATTTTATTTCCCGAAATCCTGAAACGGTATACTAAAGTCTTCCCCAAATATCTCGTGAACTATAAGTTTCTTAATCAGGAGCCCTACTCAACCACACCACTTTTAACCCTGAAATCGTGGGATGGTATACTAAAGTTCCCCTTTTCGCCCCCTTGCCATATAATCCATCTTTGAGCTTCAGCGAACATCTAGAAAAACGAAATGGCCAAATTATTTCAGGCGTTGTTGAATTATGCGCTTAGCAACACATTTTGCGATTCATTTGTGGAAGGGGCCAATTTCATGTAATAAACGAATTGTTCGCAGTACCCAAATGAAGTGTAAGATATCTTATCCTACAATTCTTGAATTTGTGAGCATAATACAGTTTCATTTACCATTCCAAATAATGAGAGATTGTTTTAAATTTTAATTAAATGCTTAGACCTTTACTTACTAGTGGCATCACTAAATATGTCTAACTAATGTCGACAGTGCGTGCTTAATAACGAGTGTCGCTACGGTTACAAATGAACTTAGTTATTATTTTATCAATACTTCCCCAACATTAAAATTTAGTCAGAAAATAAAGTTGTCAAAAAATAAATCTGAAACTTTATGCTATGAGTAAATTAGAAGATATATTGGCAAAGAAGAAAACTGTTGTTCCTGTACTTGATCTAAGTAAGAACATCGCTCAGACCAAAGAAGAATTTAAACGACTAATGGAAAAAGTGCCGGATTATAAAATGCGTCCAATCAAAGTACGTGCCGATGAAATAAAGATTAAAGAGAAAGATTTCTCTTTCAAGATATCGAAGAGAGAGGTCAGAAAACTCTCAAAGCATAATGGCGAGCGGGAACCGATTTATACATACGCAGATCCTATACCGTCCGAAATGAAGGATGTACCTATAATGGACTTGTGCTCAGTACCAATCGACTGGAAGATGCTTACGACATTGCGACCGAAGTCTAAGCAGGAAGAAGAGTACTTTAGTCGCATGACGGAAATGGCCAAGTTGCAATTGAAGACTGAAATGCGCGATCGCAGAGATTTCATTCTTAATAATTGCGTAAAAAAGAATAAAAACAAATCTGGCATTGTAGAAACTAAGTTGGCAACATGTGCCGAATGCGGACAAGAAATGTGTTGTGGTATACGAAAATTATTGTTTGAAGGAATTATTGAGGATTATGATTATTTATGAAATATTTTATAGGCAAGGCTTGCATGGACTTCAATTACGATCTATTTGTGCGTATTGAACCAAAAATCTCAAAGCCGAAACCACCCGTAAATAACACAAACAAAGGGAAATTGTCTGGACGGAAATCTCTCACGAAGAATGGTGGGAAGAATAAAGCAAACAAGAAGCAGAAGCCTCCTTCTGCCATGCCGATGGCTTAATAGCTTTCACAAACAAAACATACTGAATGCAATACCTTTATACTTTTAGAACATCATTTATGTTTATTATATTTTATAGTATTGCCACCTTTGTTGACCAAATTGATATCCGAAAATTTGTTCGACAAATCGTGGCCTAGTAATAACAACTGTTCAGATAAGTGGAATGTCAATAAAAAAACAATATGTAAATGTGAGACCGATGTTAGATTAGATTAGGTTGCACTGGCTGACTGTCATGCCATACAAAGATCTGCAGGTCCTTTGTAATGCTAGATATGAGTTCATTTTAATACGAGTTGAAGTTTCCATCAAGCAGGACGACAACGCTTTATGCAAAATTTTATAAAGATATCTTATTGTTATTCTTCATCCAGTGCCCTTGAACTGCGAAATTATTCTCTGAAGGAATGCGTTGTGAGATTATTGCCTTAATTGCTATCGAGGTACATATTGGTAATTTTTATACTCCTGCAACATGTTGCTACAGAGTATGAAAGTTTTGTTCTCCTAACGGTTGTACGTATCACCTAAAACTAAGCGAAAAAGGTATAGGATACCGACATGAATTATGAATTGAAATCCGAACGACGGTGTGTCTGTCCGTCGGTGCAAACTGTAACTTCAGTAAAAATTTAGATAAGTATCTTGATGCGACTTGCTAGTCACTTTTCTTAATAAAAAAAAGTACGAATTCGTAGACGGGCGTAAGACACACACCACTGACACGCACACGAAACGCCGTTAACCGAAAGCATATAAAGGTCACAACTAAGCAGTAAATTAAGATATAAACTCTAATTTGGTATAGGTGTTCACAGTAGCAAGGGGCATCTGTTGTCAAACAATTTTGATAATTGGGCATGGCCCCGACCACTAAATTAAGATATATTATAGAGCTGTGACTGGACACAGAAGACCGCAGCAGCAAGGGGGAAAACAATTTTGAAAAATGTGCGTTGCCACACCCTATAAAAGGTTATAAATACAAGGTACATTCCAAAGTAAACAGGACTTTTTGAATCTAACGCCCCCTGGTGGCGCCATCTATATCTCGACCAGAGAACGTATATATA